GGGGCGGGGGGCATGTGGCACCACAGTGCCCGGCCTCATAGAGCCTCACCAGCCCCCCAACCTGTGCCCCTTCCCCTCTGGCAGCTCCAGCACGGGGACTGGTTCTGCGGCAAGTCCGTCGGCCTCGTCATCATTAAGATCTCTGGGATCATCTTCAATGTCTATGTCACCCATGTGAGTGCCCTGGGGAAGGACCTGGCATTGGGGGGACAATGGAGAAGAGGGGAACAAGTGGCTGTACCCCTCCTTTGCTGTCCCTTTGCTTTAACCACTGCTCTGCACCATATCTCATGGGACTATGCACTGATGTAATGAAATATTGCTTTGGAGGGGGGCAGAGACCCCCAACCTGGCTGCGCATCCCTGGCTGTCCCCAGGGGGTGAGATGAAGACAGCGGGGTCATCCAGACCCCAGAGGGACCATCTAGAGGGGCTGGGTGGGTGTGCAGGGAGCCAAGGAGCAGGGAAGGTGCCAGTATGGGGGTCACGGCCACTTTGCCCCCCACCCTCACCAGCTACATGCAGAATACTGCCGGGAGAAGGACGCCTACCTGCCCCACCGCCTGGTGCAGGCCTGGGAGCTGGCCCAGTTCATCCGGTGAGCAGCCGTGGGGTGTCCCGGTCCCACCGGGTTCCCCATTGCACGTCCCCAGGGTGCGTGTGGTCACCCCTCCCCCTGGGGCTTGCACTGCAGAGAGCTCCCATTTGCACCAAGTCCTGGTCAGGGGTAAGGCTGGGGAGCACTGGGGAGGGCCCCAGTCACCCCAGTCCAGTGTGGGTCAGGGGTTTAGCTGTCCCCATCCCCACAGACACACCTCAAAGGCAGCTGACGTGGTTCTGCTGGGTGGGGACCTGAACATGCACCCTGAGGACGTGGGCATCCGGCTGCTGCGTGGCTGGACGGGGCTGCGGGACGCCTTTGCCGAGGCCAAGCACTTTGAGGTGAGTGGCAGGGGGGAAGCAGCGTCCTGGGGTGCACCGAGAGCCCCCCACCCACCCATGTGCTTCATCTCAGGGCTGTAAGGATGGCTGCACCCTTATCCCCAGCAACTGCTTCACCATCAAGACAGAGCTGCTGCCCTTCCCGCTTGGCATCCGCATTGACTACATCCTCTACAAGGTAACAGGGGTCCCTTGGCCATCGGTTGGGGGTAGCAGTGGGGAGGAAGCATCATGGCCCCCCTGTCACCTCACCCAGGCCATCTCCAGCTTCACGGTGAAGTGTGAAGAGCTAAAGACCACCACGGGGTCAGCTCCAGGCATGGACATCCCCTTCTCAGACCATGAAGCCGTGATGGCAACACTGCACATCAGGAGGCAGGGAGAGGCTGCGAGGGCCACCCTCAGTGCAGCTGGTAAGGTGGAATAGAGCCTGATGGATGGGCTGAGAGAGCTGGATGAAGTGGCCAGAGAAGGCCATGAGGATGATCAGGGGCTGGAGCACCTCCCATATGAAGACAGGCTGAGAACATTGGGCTGTTAAGCCTGGAGAAGAGAAGCTGCTGGAGACTTCAGGGCAGCTTCTAGTGTCTGAAGGAGGCTACAAGAATACTGGAGGGGGGCCTTCATCAGGGGACTCAAGGGGTGATGGGTTCAAACTGGAACAGGGGTCATTTAGGTTGGATCTAAGGAAGAAGCTCTTCCCTGTGAGGGTGCTGAGGTGCTGGCACAGGGTGCCCAGAGAAGCTGTGGCTGCCCCATCCCTGTCTGTGCTCAAGGCCAGGTTGGACACAGGGGCTGGGAGCAACCTGCTCTAGTGGAAGGTGTCCCTGCCCGTGGCAGGGATTGGAACTGGATGATCTTAAGATCCTTTCCAAATCCAAACCAGTCTGTGATTCTGTAAGTTGGATGGAGTTTTGGAGGACGTTTCCCCTTGCTTAGGGCATCCCTTGGGGCATCTGCATGGCCAGAACAGGGCAGAGCAGTGGGAGAAAAAGGGCTGGGAGGGGCAGGGGGAAGGGTAAAGGGCAATGGAGGGATGTCAGGGGGGTCCTATTCTGCTGACCCTCCCCTGTGCCCCACAGAGCTGGCGCTGGTGGACGTGGTGACAGAGGCACGGACAGAGGTTGGTGTGGGGCTGCGGGCAGCGCAGCGGCAGCGCTACTCCACGGGCAGGCTGGCGGTGCTGGC